ATAGTGCCCAATTATGAATTCTGAACTGGGTTTTACTTCAACAGTGTCATTAATATTACTATGACAAAATTGCTAATTTTACTTGTTCACGGTTGTATAGTTATGTATACTATATTTTTTCTCACTTAGTTCTCATGTGTTGCCTTGTGGCTTTAGATTTCTCAGTTTTAGGATGCTGTGGCCCGAGTTTCGTGTGGAGCATTATGTTGGGTATAATAGAAACTCTGTTTTTTCTGTTTTTATCATCTTTAAATCACTTGCTTTCCCCCATTTCACCTTTTGGTGAAGATAAACTCAAATTTGAAGATTTTTTTTTTTTTAATGTTTATAGGATTTGGAAGATGTTGTGAACTGAATTATTCAGTGTGTGAAGTTGTATGATTGATGCGTCTTTTCTTTGGTTGCATGTTGGCACCTCATATAGCATTTTTGTTGAAGTTCCTATAATTCAGGCTCATTTTCTTAATACAGTATGAGATTGAAGAAACAAGATAATAGAAAGTGGAATTGAATTGTTTATTATTTTACACATTGTAAAACAAAAGGCTTTGTGAGCTGGAGATTTTACTGCTTAAAACTTATAATGTAATTGAAGATACGACTTTTTGTCTATTGAAACTTTTTGTTGCATGTTTCGATTCAAACTCATGACTTCATCTCATTATACTCTTACGTTATGCAGATGAATAGGGAGAAACTTATGAAGATGGCTGGTGCGGTTCGTACTGGTGGAAAGGGCAGCGTGAGGAGGTGAGTAAACTTTTCCATTTTAAAATTTTTGTGAAGCTGTTGCCCTGATGGCATGTTGAGTAGATTGGTTTTTACCATGTTTTCCTTTTCTAAAGAGAATATTCGTTTGGTGTTTGATTGACATCTTATTGCAATCACTTAATGATAAATAATATTGCTTTGCCAATATTACTGCCTGTATGGCAATTGTTTCATTATAAAACTTAGCCATTCAGTGGGTTTTTTTATCTTCCTGTTTGTATGTGACTTTGTTTATTAATCTTTGCTCTCAACTTCAGAAAGAAGAAGGCTGTTCACAAGACAACTACCACAGACGACAAACGGCTTCAGAGCACCCTCAAGAGGATAGGGGTGAATGCTATTCCTGCAATCGAGGAAGTTAACATATTCAAGGATGATGTAGTTATCCAGTTCATAAACCCCAAAGGTGAAGCCAACCCTACAAAAATCTGATTTTGTATTTTATAGTTTGTTTCAATTTTTTTTATCCTAATAGTTGATGATGTTTATTGTACGTTTCAGTTCAAGCTTCAATTGCTGCCAACACTTGGGTTGTTAGTGGTTCTCCTCAAACAAAGAGTATGTCACTAGTTCTTTTTCTATCTTTTGAGTTTGAAATTTGTTTGGAATATTGGACATATTTACATCCTTGTTTGTGGCTGTGCCTTGCCATCATGCTGCATTAGCTTTTGACGGCCATGTTTGCTGTTTTTTTACCTTTAATTGTCCTTCAGATTTTAGACATTTTGGCATGTAACTTGACGTATAATCTTCGTTATTGTAGAGTTGCAAGATATTCTTCCCAGTATTATCAGCCACTTGGGTAAGTGTGCTTGTAAACCTTTTTATATTGTTCCTGCTTATGTGATTCAATTAACGGTGAGTTGTGATTATTTTCAGGGCCAGATAACTTGGACAATTTGAAGAAGTTGGCTGAGCAGTTCCAGAAGCAAGCACCTGGTGCTGGTGGAGCCACTGCACAAGAGGACGATGATGATGAGGTCCCTGAGCTTGTGGCCGGGGAGACCTTTGAAGCTGCTGCAGAGGAGGACAAGGAGGAGAATCAAGCTTCTTAGGGAATTTTGAGGGGATTGTTATATTTATACTCTCGATGCTGGGGAAAGTTTTTGATTTTGCTTTTACCTTGTTCATGTCTGACCATGTTTGACGGATTATCCTTGTGATGCATTGGGTAGTATTTACTTATCTCTTGGTTAAAATTTAGTTTACTATTTCCTAATTCTTGATCGAGTAGTGTGCTAAATGCTGTCATATTTTGTTGAAATTGGATGATTCCTTGTTATAATAAACGAAATACGACCAAGCTTCTAAAAGGCGGAAGGCGGGGGGCGGGTAGGGGTTTTGGTCTTTTTTTTTTTGAAGAATTTTAATTAAATTTAGAATTAACCATCTAAAACTCACTAATCTTCCAGAGTCATTTCAGATTGGTCTTAATTTTTTAAACCTTTCAAACAAGGATTCAATCAGTTGAAAATATCTCATCTGTTAAGTCTTAATCAATTTTTTCGTTAAATGTACATGTGGTAATTATGGGTTTCACTTCTTTAGCTTGTTTGGACACAAATAATAAAGTAACTTAAAAGGACATGAAGGTGAAATATAAAAATAAAAAAATAAATTTCCAAATAAAAAGAAACACAAAAATGATGATTGGAAAAGCTTCTGTTACTTCGGAACTCAATCTACGGCCACTAAAACTCCATCCCAACCTTTATATTTAAAATCCACCAATTGGGTATATAATGGTCAACATTAATATTAGTTGTCTTGTAACCTAGATTTTAAACAGAAATTATATAATATGGAAACCAATGATCAAAAGAGTATTGAATTGAATTAGAAATTGTCACATCCCGGCCCGGGCGGGACCACTTCCCGGGCCCGCTCCACCACCGTAGCACGATATTGTCCGCTTTGGGCTTACCATTCCCTCACGGTTTTGTTTTTGGGAACTCACGAGCAACTTCCCGATGGGTCACCCATCCTGGGAGTGCTCTCGCGCGCTACTCGCTTAACTTCGGAGTTCCTATGGAACTCGAAGCCAGTGAGCTCCCAAAAGGCCTCGTGCTAGGTAAGGATGGGAATATACATTTAAGGATCAGTCCCCTGGGCGATGTGGGATGTCACAATCCACCCCCCTTAGGGGCCCGACGTCCTCGTCGGCACACACGCGACCAGGGTTAGGCTCTGATACCAATGTCACATCCCGGCCCGGGCCCCCACCACAACCCGGGCCCGATCCACCACCGTAGCACGATATTGTCCGCTTTGGGCCCCGACCACGCCCTCACGGTTTTGTTTTTGGGAACTCACACGAGAACTTCCCGATGGGTTAAATGGACCCAAAATAAGCCTTAGTTAATTTACAAAATTCAACTGGGGCTTAACAAATGTGACATTTTCATTATATTAGGTACTTGTTTGGAATGTTTAAAAAAGTTAGGACCAATTTGGAATGACACTAAAAATGTTGAGGATTTTAGGTACTTAATCCTTAAACTGATTATATAACAAATAAATAAATGTATACTTATACTTAAAGAAAAATAATAATTGCCATGCGATGCATAAATTGTTAAATAGAATGACATTATAAATTATAAAGAACTAAAACATATTAAAAACATAGGAAGTAACCATATAATGAGTGTTTGTTCAAGTATTTAACAAGTCTCTTATAATTTATTGAAAAATAAAATGCAAATTGGAAGTTATTTATTTTTTGTCGAAGTGAGAGCCACGACTTAGGTGGATTTAGGTGAGTCAGGTGTGGTGCCTAGGAAGATTTAGGCGCCATATCATAATTTTCAAATGCCCTAACAAGTAATCAGAACGGTGATCAACTCCTTAACATCTAGTTGGAAATCTTTAGAACAGTGAATATGACACAAAGTCTTTGTCCTCTAGGATACATATTTATGCACATGTTAGGGGTATCGAGATTGAGGATTGATCAGGATATGCAAAGCTTTCGCCGTTAACTGAAAACACCAATAGCAGTTTTGCATTGAGCAATTGATGAATTTGCATATCAAGCAATGCTTTCATCAATACTCTCTGACTTTAGAGGGCCAACATCTTTAATGGAAGTTCTTATTTAGAGACTTTCATTATTACTTTTGAGTACTTATTTAAAGATTTAAAGGAAATCTTTGTGCTTTTAAAGGAATATTGCTTCTAATGGGAGAGTTCTTATAGTAGAATTCTTAAATTTAAAACTTTTATAACTTTATGTGATAGTTTGATTAAGTGCATATTTTTTTGTTTATGTTAACCTTTTTTAATTAATTAAAAGCATTAAAATCTTTAATCAAGATGGAAAGCCCCGTTTTCTAACATATTTTTTTTAATTAATTAAAAACATTAACATTAAAAGCATTAAAAGCGTCAATCAAGATTGTGGGCCACTTTGTCTGCTCAAGGTTGTCTCTATACAGTCCCTATATATGAGGACATACGCAATATATCCGGTGAGTACCTATACTTTATGAACTTACTTTCCGATTTAGTCGAGATTTATTGTGTCTCTATATTTATTTTATACTCATTTGCAAAACCCAAGAAAGAAAGGAGAATGACTCCTTGTATACCACAAGACTCATTTAATTAACTAGTTTTTCTTAATTATTAGTTTATTAAATAATGAACTAAATTTAAAATTTTGATTAATTCAAATGATGTAGTTGTCCACATCAAATGTCACCTAAGATGGTACAAAAACATGATACAAATAACATTACTCTATTATATTATATTAATATTATATTAGATTAGAAGAATTGCACTTGTTATATTTGTAAGAGTGAGTCTGTCAATACTCACTCAAGCATCGAGCACCCACCACGACGAAGGAAGTTTCCAAGATGCTGCTTATACATACCATATGGTGTTGTTGACTATATTATCCAAGAACCTTGAGTTATTTTGTATGAAACATCTTTCTAGAAAATGTCTCAGTTAGTTTAAACAATTCTATGGAAGCCTTGCCTAATAAACAGGGGCTTATTGCCAATTTGCTAATTTGTTTCGGTGTTGGTGAGTTGGTGTTACTTTTCGATAGAAAGTTTCCAATGTGATGTGAACCTCACAACTAATTCACATTTCTTTTTAAAGAGATCCATTCCCCTAAACCGCCCTTATAGATGTATCGTAGGCTGCACATATGTAGTTTCATTAATTCATTGTTTTCCTCTTCTGATAAATTATTTTCAGCCTTGTTATGCGGGGAATACTCTTCAACATATGTAGTTTCATTTGTTATGTACGACAAAACGTATCTCATAAACAAATTAATGGGGCAAAGGAAAAACTCCGAGCATTCAAATGCTCCTTCATAGTTAACTTATAATCACTGAAAAACTGGTGACAATCATCTTGTTTTCGGCATCTTGCCATAGAATATTATAGGTGTGATTGCAAGTGAACTGCCATTGTCAAGCTGCTAATTCACAAGGCCCCTTTGTTTGAAGACGTCAAGCATGGCCGCCCCAATTTTCGCAGGAGACTCCACCACGGTAACCCCAGCTTCCCTTAGTGTCTTGATTTTGTCTTGTGCTGTACCCTTTCCCCCTGACACAATAGCTGCACAACCAGATGCAAGCAATCATAACATATCGAAAACCAGAGACTCAACCTAGACAATGAGAAAGAGAGGGTAAAGAATTATATACCTCCAGCATGACCCATTCGACGACCAGGAGGAGCCGTTAATCCAGCAATAAATGCAACAACAGGCTTCTCAGTTCCACTTTCCTGTTTCATTGGTCAGAGAATCAGTCTTGAGCACCCATATCCAGACAACAAATATAGACACCAGTAACTAAAATCAATTTATGGCTCAACAAATCCTTAGAAAGATACAAAGCAGCAGAAAGGTATTTCTCTCCGGTTATGGCCACTCAAAACCCTAACCAAAGATGGTGACATTCTGACCTTAATCAATGCAGCAGCATCCTCTTCTGCAGTCCCACCAATCTCTCCTATAAGAACGATACCTGAAACATACATTCTAGAATTAGTTCAAATTACTAGTCCTCTACTTCAACACGTATTTTCTTGTATACCTCACCAATATCCACACTGATGACAAAGGTAAGAAGAATACATGCACTTTAATAATCACAGCAAGCCAAAAATAGTACAATGGACGAGCATCCAAAATTATGAAAGACAAAAGTCCTAATAGGATGAACTTTAGTAGTAATTTGAGAACTCATGGAGAGAGACATAACACAAACAGTTGTATCAAAAAATTGAATTTAATCGAAAATGAAAATAGGTTTAAATGAGGAATCTAAATGAAATTTGACTCATGAGTCATTAACCACAAAACGTTGGACATCATCTTCATATCCTCTTATAAAAGACTTTGCACTACATGGAGCTTGATGCTTACATGGAAATTAGAATCCAGTCAAAGTAGTTGGAACATGATATGCTTTTCATAAATCCCCTAAAAAGTGTTGAAGAATCAGAGCGTACGAACATGTCCTATTTGACTCGACAAAAGTGATGGGAAAAATGAGCGTCCTAAAACAATCTATTATTTTACAGACGCTCATAGCATCAATATGAACATGCAATATAAACATATAGAGATGAGTGCATGAAGGGATGCACATTCCTCCCTTTCAATCTGCAATTTGTCCAACTGCAACAGGAGAAGAAAAACTAAATCAAGCTCCTAACCTTCTGTTTGAGGATCTTGTAGGAATCTGTCAATGCAATCAACGAAGTTTGTACCATTAAACGGATCCCCCCCAATACCAACACAGGTGGATTGTCCAAGGCCAACGGCAGTTGTTTGGAAAACCTACAGGGTAAAAGGAATAAATTAGTCAGATTTACAAGGAAAAGGAATAAAATTGTAAATGGAAGTGGTACCCACAAGATCCAAACATCAAACAAGAAGAGCTGAAGATTGAATCATAATAATAGTATCCCATCTGCTGAAAGAACCAAATTAATATGAAAATTGTATGTTGGAAAGGGAAAATTGTAAAGCCTAATCAGATAACTCTCCCAGTCTCCCTAGATTAAAAATAGTACTCACCGCTTCATAGGTCAAGGTACCAGATCGAGAAACAATTCCTATGCGCCCAGGTTTATGAATGTAGCCAGGCATAATTCCGATTTTGCATTCACCAGGCTTGATAATTCCAGGGCAGTTTGGCCCAATGAGCCGAGTTTTAGATTGCCTGTTAATAGCAGCCTTGACACGCACCTGAATCAGTTAAGACCATATTCAAGATCAGTAACAAGGCTTTCAGTGAACTAGTGAACTGAAAATAATAATCAGAGCCCAGATCAAGTTCAATGAAGTCCAAAATCCAAGCCATATGATAGTCCACGAAGGATAAACTCAATAACTATGGTCAGGGGTTCTTTAGAAGTCTCAAAACCCAAATTACCAAGTAAAAACATGGTGACCTTATCCTTCCTATTTGAAGATATTGGTGAAATTAACACTACCATATCATGTTGTGGGATCCCCTCAGTAATGCAGACAACAAGATCCAGCTCTGCTTCCACTGCCTCCAGAATAGCAGCAGCAGCAAATGGTGGGGGAACATATATGACTGAGGCATTAGCCTTTGTTTCAGCTTTTGCTTCTGCAACTGAGTTGAAAACAGGAAGTCCCAAATGCTCAGTCCCACCCTTCTTCGGTGTTACACCACCAACCTGTTTCAGCACAATCGTATGTACATTAAACAATGAAGGAAAGAAAAAAAAATGGTTAAAGTATATTGCTAAAAGAAAGCTTATTTTGGGAAATTCACATTGAAACCCAGTCCGTTAATTGTGATCACTCCTATATAGCAGTTCATTGGAATAGGTTACCCATTGCTACATGTAAGTAAACAGTGGGGGTTTTCTTAATATATTGCATTAACGGCATGTTGGCACATTGTGAAACCCATATCGCTCGTTTTTTCACATTTCAACGTGAACTCAATTCCCAATTAGTTATAGGGAATTGAAACCCCGCCTTTGATATTCACTAGTAAGAGACAAACAAGTTTAAGCAGATGAGCAAATGAATCTAAACATATAAACAGAGCAGTACAAGTATAACGCATTATTGCTTAATTTGGTAATTGAAGAAATTTCAAGTAACATTGCATACGCATCAAATGCAAACCTAGAATTCAATAAAGCAAACGGAAATGGAAAACAGATGAGAGCGACAGCACATATAGAGACCAATTTGGAGAAGAGACAGGTGCAAGTGATAGATACCATTTTGGTGCCATATTCGATGGCTTGCTCGGTGTGGAAAGTGCCGTTCTTTCCGGTGATGCCTTGGCATATGACGCGAGTGTTTTTGTCGACGAAGACAGCCGGGGGCGGGGGCGGAGCCGGGGAGTAATGACGGCGCTGAAGTAAAGACGTTGAAAGAGATGGTTTGCGCGATGCGATCGAACCGATCAGCTTGGCTACGGCTTGGCGACCCATCACACCGTCGTGATTCGCTCGCTCTCAGTTGGCTGGCGGGGGCTGATTTTGTGCGCTTCAATTCAATGAGATGAACGAAACAGTGTTTAGTCTCAAATTCTTCTTTCTTCTGCCGTGGCTGTGGCTGTGGCTGTAGGGGTGGGGCGCTGTGGTTTAATATGGGCTGGGCTTTCTTCTCAAAAGCTTTCTGGTGGGTTGAGCTGCATTTGTGAAAATAAAATCTTATGATGGATTTCATCATGGGCTTCCACCTTCTTTTCTTTTAGACCTCATTTTCCCCATTGGGTTGTTTGTTTTTTTTTTTTTTCCTCCAATCAAGGCATTAGGTTGTTTGTTTTTTTTTTTTTTTGGAAGGAAACGTTATATTGAACAAGCACCCAAAAGCACCAAGGCCGAAGCCACAATACAACAGAAGCTCAACGAGAGCAAGCCATAAAGGCAACCACAGCCACAAGCAAAGGAGGAGGATCAACAAACCTGACCCAGCCCAAAGGCATGGCCACCCCCTCCCAAGCCAAACAAAAATTAATGGGGACAAGGTAACCCATCCTTATTAAGAACATGAACCAGCGAAGATGGAGGGAGATTTACCCAAATTACATCGCACATCTCCGGATTACTTCTCGACGCCAACACATGCGCCGCCAAATTGGCCGATCTCGGAGTCTAAGACCAGCGACAGTCCTGAAAGTTTCCCCCAATACGCAAGGCCTTTGAAATATCGGGGAAAGCCTCCCAGCTGCCCCGCGAATAACCCTGAGTTAAACTATGGATATTCTCCCTTGAATCGGACTCCACAATTATGCATTCCAACTCTAGCTCATTTGCCAACTCGCACCCCAACAAGATCGCCGCAGCCTCGGCAGCAGCCACACTAGGCGCCCCAACCCGACCACGTTTAGCAGCCACAAACTTCCCCTCGTGATCCCTGATTACCACTCCCGCAAACCCACCTTTAGAATGAGCCTCCTAGCTCGCATCCACATTCACCTTCATAAAAGGATTGCACGAAGGACCCCAGCAGGCAGGAGGACACGAGTGAGAGCGAACTCGCTGAGGGCGACACACAGAAGCATCAGTAGCCTCCAAGAACCCCTGCACCGAAGTCAAAGTAGCCATGATGACTCGATTAGGATCAATACCCAATTGATCAAAAACAAAGCTACACCGAGTTTTCCATATTTGCCAGCAAGTAACAGCCATATACATCAAGATTCTAGCAATCTCTTCCTTAGAACCCAGGTTAGACCCGAAGAAAGATAAAACCCAAGCAGGAAGAGTCGAAATACTTGCCCTATTCACCCGGTAATTCAACGGGCCACCAAACCAAATTGGCTCAACCCATGGGCACAGAAGGAGCATATGTTCCACAGATTCGTCCTGATCCAAACAAATTGGACAACACGGAGATGGAGAACAGCGGCGTTTGAACAAATTCTCCATCGTTGCCAACGCACGATTCAAAGCCCGCCACATAAAGTTCCGGATCTTCGAAGGAGTCTTCAACTGCCACATACTTTTCCAAACCTTATTCGGGATTATAGAGGAAGACGAGGAGGCTCTGCCAATCAAGGGGCTCGAGCTAGCATGCTTCCAATGATATCCATATCTCACAGAGTACACCCCATTTCTGGTAGCCGGCCAAATTAACCTATCCTCCTGACGCCGATCTCCAATGGGAGTATCCAGAATGGCCTCGTAGTCCACCAGTGATATAACAGGCTTAATGGCCTCAATATTCCAAGTGCCGGACACCTCATTAATCATTGTATTCACCCGCATATTCTGAGACACTCTCACATCTCCAATAGCCGTAGGTTTCCCAGCAGAGATAGTCGGCAACCACCTATCTTGCCATAATCTGATACTTTTACCATTCATTATCTGCCAGTGGGCACCACTCAGAAGAATCTCACGCCCAACCAGAAGACTGGACCAGCCCCAAGATGCTCTTCCCCCCAAGGTAGCTTCCAGGAAAGAACAGTGAGGGAAATAACGGGCCTTAAGGAGCTGCGCCCATAGCGAGTTTGGGTCATGAATCAGACGCCAACACTGTTTAGCAAGCAACGCATCATTAAACTCTTGAAAGTTCCGAAACCCCATACCTCCTTCCATTTTCGGGTACCCCAAGAGATTAGCAACACCATTATTTGTAGGCATTTGTCTGTTAATTCTGACTTAATGCATGTGTCAATTATTACTATATTCTAAAATCAAAAGTAAGTGTCGGTTCAATTAATTGGACAAGAATGCCACAATGACTATAAGTTCATTCCATGTAAGTTGCTCATCACCTCATCACCACTTCACAAGTTCATATTTATATAAAATAAAATAAAATAAAAGATTTTAAAAGATAAACGGCTACATTAGCATAACAAGACGACATGGTAAATTTGGAAACTTGATCCTCCTTCCTTGTCCTCTGAGTTGGATAATTAATTAATAATTTGTATATGTCTCAAACAATTCCTATGTTAAAAGAGTCACCAAACACATGGTGATGAAAGCAACGCTCATTCTATTCCAGCTACATGTAAACAATTATTAACATAATCAAAACTAAATAATTATCAAATCAAACCACTTTCATACTCGTGCGAAAGAAAAAAAAACCTCCCTAAATTTAGATCCACATCTCCAATTAGTCGGGACCTCCTCCACAATAAAAATTACAGATGGGAGGAAAACCCACCAAGTTAGATAAGCATTATTCAGCAGCAACTATTAGGCAAGGCCAATGTTATGGTGGTGCTTGAACTTCCCCTTCACAGAACCTCCACGAACCGTCTTCTTGCCTTTTTAGAGCATACCAAATTTTATAGGTGCTGCAATCACTCCAACAGAAAACAAATCAAATACAAGCCATGGTAATCATCACCCCCTCCCCACCCCACATACGGTAACAGCAACCACAAGAGTAATCATAACTCCTTCATTCAGCTCACCTGTAATAACTTGGGTTCTTTTGCTCAGATTCATTAACAAGTTCAGCCGCTTCCTCTACGACAACCTCGATCTCTGCTCTCTCCCCTCCAACTTCATCTGATATAATTTCAGCACCAAGGACTGACAGTTGTAGCAAGACAAACTTCCAATAACAAGACCTCGCTTTTGCAGCATCAGCCAAAGCCTGCCACTGTGTATCATGCACGCAATCGTAACCACCCACACCCATACAGTGAAGCAGTGAAACTTGCAAGAATTATCAAGGAAAAGAACATGTAAAAAGAAGTAAGCTTAAATATACCTGAACAAGCATCGAGTCATCAAGGATTTCAGAGAGGCTATGAATTTCATGAGTGGGCCCCAGAGCTTCAGCCTTAATTGCTTGCCATTGCTTCACAAGGTCTTCAGCTTCTTCAATAGACATAAGCCTCCGGAACACAGCTGTTGAAGAAGACAGATCCAGAATTTGTGGATTTCCAGCATCTGAGCAGGTCCCCACCGGCTTCATAAAAGTCGCCAAAAGCTTCTTAAATCTGCCTGCTAGTCCATTTCCCTTGACGTAAGCAGGGACTAGATTAGAATCCGCAGATGAAACTGTCGTCCAAGCAATAGAACTTGTGTGCATATTTGGCTTACTGGAGGCCTGTTTAGAAGCACTTCTCATCTCATTTCCCTTCAAGCCTGTTAACCTTAAGGAAGCAAAAACAATGCACCCCAATACTCCAGCTAAAGCGATTCTTCCCACCAAAACTCCTCTCGCAAACCAACCATCCCAAGCTTTACCACGGTGCATGCCAAGATTCCTTTCCAATTGAACAGATGATGCATTAGAACTGCTTCCACTGCCAGTCTTGCCCAATAGTAAGGGACTTTGCAGATCAGTTGAAGCCAACTGCTTAACAGCTGTCCCAAGATGTTGAGAAGAGTTCATATGGGAAAAAGATTCATCGAAATCCCTCCGTTCCGACACAAAAGCAGTGGATATTGGTCTTTGACTTATGATAGGCAACTTCTGTGGAGCTACTTTGCTTTTCTTGCTCAAAGGAGTCCTCTTGTCACCACCAAAAAAGTTGGCCTACAAAGACATACATACACACATACATAAACCATCTGGTAAAGCTAAAGATAGGATCCTTAATCAATCCATCCTTGTGAATCTCACCAACAATGGAGAGCAATCTCGTGAGTCTGGAAACACAGAAAGGACAGCATCCTTCAGCCACATTTCCTGATCAAGTTCAGCAGGCAGTCCGACATGAGAAAGTACTGACCTTGAAAACAAACATAAAGTTTGTACTGAAATAAGTAGAGTGTGAAGTGGCACAATATAGAACACATTGCATTTTCATAATAAACCATCTATTCCGCAGGCTAAAAACAACTTTTACTTTTCCTGAAACCATGACATGACACATAGAGAGTAAAAAAGAAAATAGACTAGAGTGGCCCCTGGTTGCTGGTGTATGCTTTTTTGGACCACTGAAGTGCATGCCACTAATCAAAAGGAGTTGATACACAGAGCCTTTTAATCCAGCTAATACCACGATAACGCTGTGTAAATAGGGAGGCAACAATAACCAATAAGAGATATATACCAACGATTGAGTTGCACCACAAGTATCCTTAACTTCCTTCCCTAAGATTGAATTTCGTGCAGCAGAATTTGAGTTCAAGTCCAGCTTCTGAAGCTTTTCAACAACCGCAGCCTCATCAACCTGGAAAGCAAGTAAATATTCAGTTAACGAAACAGAAAGGAGAAAAAGGGAAAAAAATTCTATCTCTGCATGATATCCAAAAGAATTTTATGAAACAGTGCAGGAAATAAAACTAGAAGAAAGAATATACCTGACCAAGGAGGAACAAGCAAAAAGCTTCCTCAAGTTTCAGATCAGCACCCTCTGATGCAATCAGGCACTCGCATATAGATTTTGCTTTCTCAATCTGCCCAACCATATGATAAATACTGAAATTAACAAAATGGAAAACACAACAACCACCCTGAGAGAATTTGAAGAGAACTATTCCATCAGCATTCATATTCAAAACTAGTTATTTCAAAGCCAGTAACCTAGGTGAATAATGGACTTACTAATTCCTTTTGCTTGCTTGAAAAACCCAGTGCAACGTGAGCTATTAACACCGTGTAGAAACAATTAAAATCAATTACAAC